ACCGCTCCAGACACGACGTCGGGCTCGCGCTACGGCAGCGCCCGCCTGTCCCCGCTCTTCGGCCCCGGGCGCTGATCCCTCCAAGAGCCCAGGGCCCGGGCGGCCTGGGAGCGTGCTGGGCAGCGCCTTCAACGGCGCCGCACTCAGCCGCCCGGCTCGGACTGACTCCCCACCGAGCTGGGGGGCCGCTCCAGCCCAGGTCTGCTCACAGCGACGCGGCTCCCGCAAGGGGAGTGGGCGGAGAGGGGAGGGACCGAGGGTCACGTGCTCAGGCGCCGGAAGTGGTGGGTACAGCGAGTCTGCGCCGGAAGTGGCGGGGGCCCCGTTTTTTTGGGCTGCAGTGGGCAGGTGACTGAACTGGTGCCTGGCGGGCGTGCGCCGAGCCCCGGCCTGGCCTCCGCGTGCCCTCCAGGCTCTGCACCCCTGATGCTGCACGGGTGCTGACCCCGCCCGGCCGGGACAATGGTGAAGTATTTCCTGGGCCACAGCGTGCTCCGGAGTTCCTGGGACCAAGTGTTCGCTGCCTTCTGGCAGCGGTACCCGAATCCCTACAGGTACGTAACCGAGAAAGGAGCAACCCCGCCCCCTCGCCGTTTGGAGATCGGAATGTGGGACCGGGAAGGACTCCACATCGAGTCCGAGGTAGGGGATGGCCGGAACCGTGGCCGCCTTGGGGGCCAGAGGACCCTCTGGAGGAAGTGGCCAGGCCTGCAAGGTGCTGGAAGGAGAAGGGCCTGGGCGGTGGTTTCCTTGAGGCCCTAGTCCAAGGTTCTCTGGGTGGCGAGACAGGAAGAGGCGGCCGCACAGGAATTGGGAGGGGTCCTGGGGTTGCAATTCCAGACGCGCTCCTCCTCTGCCTGTGGCTCGCTCCGGCGATGCAGGTGCAATAAATCATGAAGGCCGGCCACGCCGGAAAGCCCAGGAATCCAGGTCAAGGAGAGGGCGGGAGTCGGAATTTGCCCTGGGATAGGTTCGAGGGAATGCGCCACAACACACATCACTGCAACTCTGAGGGAAGGCCTGGCCATTCTGGGCCGGGAGACTGGAGATGGGAACCGCAGCAGGCAGGCTCAGGGCAGGCTCCTGAGGGTGACCTTCCTCCTGACACCTGCAGCAAACATGTCTTGACGGAAGACATAGTGCACCGGGAGGTGACCCCTGACCAGAAGCTCCTGTCCCGGAGACTTCTCACCAAGACCAACAGGATGCCCCGCTGGGCCGAGCGACTGTTTCCTGCCAATGTTGCTCACTCAGTGTACATCCTGGAGGATTCTATTGTGGACCCACAGAACCAGACCATGACCACCTTCACCTGGAACATCAACCACGCCCGGCTGATGGTGAGACTCCCTTGGTCCCTCAGAGCTCCGGATAGGTACGGCTAGGGACCAGTGATGCTGAGGGAGGGAGGCAGTGGCTTTCAGACAGGAACCAATCAGGCCATGCTCTAGAGTGCCTTGGGTGTGCCTCAGAAGGGAGCGGATCTGGGCCCGTACCCCATGTGACTAAAGGAGTAACACTGTTATGTGTCTTACATCATGGATTTCTGTCTAAGAGTCTAGGGAAAAGAGGTTCTATATACCTTTGCTCTCTTGTCTTTAAAACTTGATGGGTGATGGGCACAAGGTGCAATATACAGATCTTATAACCTAGAAACCCACACCTGAAACCTGTATGTTCATGTTAACCAATGTCACCCCAATAAAATTAATTTAATTTAAGAAAACAAAAACACTTGAAAATATATATTTTAAATTAGGCAGCAGTTGCCAACCTTTCAGACCTCACGGACCACCGGTTCGCTGGTTTAAGGAACACTCTACAATATCTTCTCACGTATGAATATCCTGAAGCTTTCAGAAAACTTACATTCTCTTTCTCACTTAATCTTCACAGTAACTCTGGGGGGGCGGGGGGGGGCATAACTCTTGTGCAAAGAGAAAAGTTAGGTTCAAAGAGGGCAAGTGTCCTACAAGGCCACAGAATGAGCTGGCAACCTAATACACTGCCCCCCCAGCATACTTCCCTGAGGGCACTACCTCTGTTTTCTGTTACCAAGAGAGTGGTCCTGCTGTGAGAAATGTCTTTCAGTCCAGCTGTGAGACAGGTCTTTGAAGGTTTCTATTGGAAGTACCGATCTACTTTTTCCTCTCTGATGAGAGCTGTGACAATTGCCAGATTTCCATTTTTATTTGGACTTCCAATGAGCTCAAGAGCTGCAACAGGTGGAAGACAGGCTGAAAACTCTACTCATGACCAGGCAAAGCTACAAAACCAAATCCAGGGGCAGGATGAGCTGGAAGACCCTCTGCTATTCCATGTGCCTTCTAGTTTAAAGGGTCAGAGGAAAGATTAGAGAGAGCACAATGACCTTAATGTTCTTGTTCTTCTGTGAATGCAGTTTGGGGTGCATTCAGGGAAATGAATGGATTTTCATTTTTTTCTACCTCGTGAAAAGAGGCAGGAGATCAAATTTATGTGAAGTTGGCAAATTGAAAGACTCCCACACAATTGTGGTTGGCCTGACTCCCTGCACAGGTGGTGGAGGAACGATGTGTTTACTGTGTGAACTCTGATAACAGCGGCTGGACCGAAATCCACCGGGAAGCTTGGGTCTCCTCTAGCTTATTTGGCGTCTCCAGAGCTGTCCAGGTGAGCAGCACTGTGAGAGTGCTAGGGCTCTGAGGCCCAGGGCATTTGACATAGAGACTGGGCTGGGGGTCAGTGGGCAGCTCAGAATCCTTCCCCTTCTCATCTTTTGCCAGGAATTTGGTCTCGCCCGGTTCAAAAGCAATGTGACCAAGTCAATGAAGGGTTTTGAGTACATCTTGGCCAAGCTGCAAGGTGAGAACCTCCCAGGCACAGGTCGGGGTCAAGTCCTAGGTGCCCTGACTGGTGTGGAACCTGGGGCTGTCAATGCTCCTCTCTAAGCCTGGGACTCCTCATCTGCTCCTGGGCAAATACCACCTTCCCGATGGGGCCTGGCTTGCAGGAAGTGAATGCTGTAGGCAGCGATTAGGTGGGTCTTCTTGGCATCCTCTCAAGCCAGCCCCCTGCCCTTTGCTGCAGGTGAGGCCCCTTCCAAAACCCTTGTTGAGACAGCCAAGGAAGCCAAGGAGAAGGCAAAGGAGACAGCACTGGCAGCTACAGAGAAGGCCAAGGACCTTGCCAGCAAGGCAGCCACCAAGAAGCAGCAGCAGCAGCAGCAGTTCGTGTAGCCAGCGCAGACCCTGTGTGGCAGCACACCACACCACCTGCTGCACTCCCTCTGCCCTCCCCCTGTATTTTATTATTAAAAGTCAACTTCCAGCCTGATCTACTCTCTGGGTAGTGGGTTGGAAGTGGTATGTGTTTGGCATCTACAGTGCATCAGACCTGTGATCTGTATCTGAACCAGGCCTGTTTCTTCCTGCATTGGATAGCTGAGGAGAGATTTGCCCAGGGTCATGGACAGCATTCAGGCAAAGTGGTCATAAACACTAGACTGTAAGCTCCATGAGGGCAGGGACCTTCGTTTTGTTCTCTGCTGCATCCCAAGTATCTGGAACAATATCTAGCTCATAATAGACACTCAATAAATACTTGTTGAATTCAATCAGCCCCAGTTGTGGAGTAGGAAAGCTTTGGTTCGAATCTTGACTCCACTATATTTTGGCTTTGGGCCTCAGGCAAGTCCTATCACTTAGCCTCAGTCCCACCTGCAAAGTGGGGAAAGACGGCTTAGCTGTGAGGATTAAAGGGGCACTGCGGCAGTCAACAGTGTTAGTTGTAGTGACTGATCTCATTTCCTCTTTCCCATTTTGTGGCTGGAGTTTCCCCATTTTCATCAGGCAAGACCATGGGCAGGAAATGATGAAAGCCTTTTAATGAAAACACTGTACAGTATCTATGGGGCAAAGGCCAGGGGGCCTTGTCTAGGAAGAAATGTGGAGATGGGCCCAAGAGGCCTCCTGTCCCTGTGGGGACAACAGAACCAAGTGCTACAAAAAAGGCCTGGAAGAGTGGCCCAGGCCTAAGCTGCCTGTCGTGCTGGGCTCAGGGGAGGCCAGGCCCCCTCCCCTCTTTCCCCGGAGGCACTGCAGCAGCCAGCGTAGGGGCAGGAGGTGCACGGGCTCCCACGCCAAGGTCCTTTTAGTCCATTCCAACAGGAGGTGACTGAGCAGCCGTTGAGGCTTGGGGAGGGCTCCTGCCCGGCTGAGTGGAGCAGAGGGTGGTCTGAGGGCAGAGGCACGCTCTAGGGTGGCAAGGGTCATAGCCAGGCGCCGCTGTGTGAGTAGCTGTGCTCCTGGCCCGCACTGAAGCCCCGCAGCAGCTCGGCCTCACCCCCGAACACCACGCTCTCCACGTCCACCTCCAGCTCCTCTGCACAGGGACAGGTCTAGTCAGGAGACCTGGCCCACTGGCCCACCCCACCCTCCGCTTCAGGACACTCACCTTGGTCTGAGTCCGAACGCTCAGAGGAGAGGCCTGAGGAGTCCAGGCTATCTGCCCGCAGCCGCTCCCGTTCACCAGCCCCCACCGGCGCCCGGAGCTGCTCCAGCTGCTGCTGCAGGCTCTGCTGCTTGCTGCGCAGCTGCTCCTTGAGCCTCTGGGCCCGCTGCTCCTGCTCCTCCAGCTTCTGTGGATTCCAGAGGAGCAAAGGGCTGGGGTCAGCTGCCTGGGGCCTGGGCCTCAACCCAGCATAACTCAGCAGCAGGTCATGGCCACTTGGTGACTGTTCCAGACAGAGGCTCACTAAACCTGGGCTCCAAAGGGTTACCTCCACATCCTGCAGGGAATCAGGCCTTTCTGTCCCGTGTAAATGGCCCGTGAGTTCTGTCTAGCTGGGCAGGGGAGGGAGGGCAACACAGTCTCAAAAGAACGTCAGGGTTTAGTCAGGTGGGGCCTAGATAGGAGATGTGGAGTGATGAGTGCTGGTATCAAGCAACAGGGATGGGGTGTGGCAGGGACTGTGACATGATGGCAAGTGTGAACTCCAGCTGAAAGAGGCAGCCACCTCCAGGTTCCAATCAATCACATGGAAAGAGGCCCAGTGTGGTCCGATCTCTCCGTGTCTTTAAGAGAGCTGGAAAGTCACACTTTTTCATGTCAAATGTCCTCTTAAGTGCTGCCAAGTAGCTAAACTTTTAGGAAACTGTAGACTAAACAAAGGCTACCAGTTTGTAACTCCTGGTCAAGACCCTCCTAGGAACCCTAAGGCTTTTTCATCATTAATTTGCCCCCTCTTCCCCACCACCCCTACCAGAGCTCTGCCAGCCCCGAGTACTAGGAACTCAAAGACCAAGAGTTCTCCCATCAGAGCCCTCAGTGGGCAGGAGCCTGCAGTCAACAAGGAGAGCATGGGGAAGGGACATTGGGACTGGGTGTGGAAGGATGAGTGACCGCTGCTCAGGTGAAGATGGAGGAGGAGAAGCACTCAGGCAGAGGGAGGCGGGGAAGAGCACCAAGAATTCGGCTCTTGGTGGGGAACAGGGAGGGGATGAAACTACAAAAGCAGCCAGCAGCAGCAGTTGAGTGAAGGGCCTTGAGTTCACAGGAAGTAAGGACTAAGACTATCCTGTCAGGAGCCATGAAAGGTTTTCAGCAGAAAAGGCACCTGGACAGATCTATGTGCAGCAAAGAAATCCTAAGGCAAGGCAGAAGTGGAACAGGACGCAGGGAGTACAGGGCGAAGTGATGGGGCTTCAGGAAGGAGCAATCCACAGGTCCTGCCCACCCGCCAGTCCGCACTTGGGCATACCATCCCTCCAAGACGCAGGCCAGGTGAGCCCCACATGAGAAACAGGCTGCTGTTCAGCTAGGGCCAGTGGTCGGCACACTCCTTAGTCAACAGAGCCGAATATCAACAGTACAACGATTGAAATTTCTTTTGAGAGCCAAATTTTTTAAACATAAAATATGTAGGTAGGTACATTGTTATTAACTTAATTAGGGTACTCC